GTTGAGTTTGTAAAGTGCCCTGACATTATATAAGTGGTAAATTGGTGCTACATAATTAAACTGAATTGAACTGAAAGGTGGTTGAGGTAGCTGATCAGGACGGCCCCAGGGAGCCTCTCTTTGGAGGGTCTCCTGACACATCTGACAATCGGATCTCAGATAAGCAGAAGACGATGGATGCATGAACCTCTGTTTCATCCCTCCATGGAACCCTTCCATGCCTTTTATTTTAAAATGAAGTCATTTGAAAAATGAATTCAAGGAAGTCTGGAGACATGATGAAATATAGATGTTCAGCGGTCTGGTGGGTATGTGATAGACGTCATTTACTGTTAGAGTGACAGGACAGCAGCGTTCCACGTCTGTACTATAAGGCAGTAAGTATTGGTTCAAATGGGAAGTCACTAACTCAAAGCACCCTTCATTGTCCACTGCCATTCTATAACAAAGTGTAGTCAGTGGAATAACTGCACATCTTGCTGTTTAGTGTATAATCGTAAGGCGTTTTTATTTACTACAGGCCTCCAAGCAACTATTAAACATGAAGACTTTGCTAAAAAAGAAAGGGGCTGTGATACAGTGCAAGGCATCAAACACAAGATGTCACATTCTCAAATGCAGAGATAGGTTAAGTGGCAAGGAAACAACATTTCAGAGGACTCGCTGTTGTGCTGCATGCTTATGCCAGCAGAAATGGCTTAAATGCAGCCCCATGAATATGCGATTTCAGAGTGAAGACTTTGACAACAAAGGACCCACTGCATCATTTTTGATGAGGCAAGATCGCCTGTTTGTGTGTAGAAATCCAGGTTGTGACTATCCTGTCCTACTTCCATCTCTATATAATAATGCCCGAAATAGAGAATGAGCAGCAATGAATGGTGCCTAAAACAATTATGTTGATTTAATGTTTTAATTTGATGCCAAAATATTTGTTGTAACATGATTAAGACTGAATGATTTCATTCCAAATGAAGTGAAAAGATTCACTACAAATTGTTACATTTTTCTAAAATTACAAACTACATAACTTTTGATCTTTTTGGTGTACATATGTTCAGCAAAATAGATGTATAAATTAACGACCGATGACTTCTGAGATTAAGTTTCTAGATTGTTTGAGAAATTACTTTTGTAAAATATCTGTTATGTTTGCTAATAATAATATTTCTAAATAGAATTGTTTGTCCTGAATTGCACCTTTTGATTATATTGCTAATTCACTAATAAAACCTTCAGTCGTTGGCAAAATTGCATTTCACTGTTTATTTGTTTGAGAGGTTTGGTTCAGTCGATGAGTGCTGATGTGTTTGATGTGGTGACACGTTAAACGATGGAAATGACCCATGAGAATAAAGAGGAACCTGTTTTTTGTATGTGTGCAGATTGTTGATAAAATGATAATGACTTTTTGTAATATATGTTGAAAATATGATTTAACTTTGATTGCATTATTGGTGTGCTTTCTGTGCTATGCTCAGAAATTTTCCATTAATGCTCACACTTGAGCATGTTGACTGTACGGAGTTTCATAAAGCTGCCTTATAATAAAGCAGTCTTTAGTAATATTAAACCCATCGCCGCATAATCTTCCACCTGCTCCTCCTTTAGCTTAATTTCCACATCCATCCTCAGTTTTTGCTTTTATTTGATAGTTCATTTTCTCTCCAAAGCTCGGGTAAAATAGCTCTCCTTATGACTTAAGCAGAATTGACAATTAGCCTGCTAGCTGGAGCAAAGGTCTCTGCAGTGGGTCCCTGATGGTGCTGCACTGCAGATAAAGAGATTGAACCACCACCAACAATGGCTGCCTGCCTCAGATTGGCTGGCGTAATTGGCACCCTCTCTGTAACACTCGCATTCTATCACACTTTATTAATGCCCATCATCCAGTCAAAAGCTAATCTTTTATTCTGTTTTCCAATTATTGTAAAGTGGCGGGCTTTAAATGAGGAGGAGGAGATAATGAAATTAACTTCCTAACTTAGAGCAATTCTCCACGGCACAATGATCAGATATTCTCTAGGTCTGGGAAATGTATGCAAATTTTATGCATCTATCATTAGTTATTACCATTGCAGCAACATAAAACACAGTTTTCTTGAACAATTAGACTTAAAATGGTGCATTTTAATCAGCCAGGGGAAACCTGCGTGCATATTAAAGCTACTGTAATTGAAAAGCCTGAACTTTTGACAGTTTTCACTGGAGTGTTTGACAGCAGTGGCAGTTTGTTTACATCCTGCTGTGTCTGTGTTCACATTAAAAGATTGTTTCATATTACCTGCGAGCAGCAGTGAGGATTATTCTAGGCTTTTCTTTTTTACACCTCAAGTGTATTGCTGGTACATATTTACACCAGGAAACATTGAACATTTAAGCATGCATTTGTTTAATTCATTACCCTTATTTGTCAGGTTGTGAAACATTGATCTAAGTTTTGATAAGACCAAAACCAAATATGTTGCAGCTCCAAGTCAGGCCATTCCTGTTAAAGCTAGGTGAAAATCTCACTTTGTTGTTTCTTCAAACAGAAAGGATGTAAAACAAACACAGGCACAACAAATGTGCTTTTAATTAAGAATAAATTTAAACCCAGGAAGCATCCACCCCTCCTTTTCTCTCTCTACTATCGGTCCTTCGCTCAGATGCCCCCACAGATCTGCTGCTTTCCCCCAGCCGCCTCATCAGTCACCCTGGGCAGCCTTTCCCCAAACGGGACCCCCTGATGCCCAGTAATGGCTATTTGATGACCCTCATAAAAGGAGTCAATGTATTGACAAAGCCCTTTGAGAAAAAGACCTAATTCATATGAGGATCAATTTAGCCAATTCGTGGAAGAAGCACCAATGGATGATGGGGATGTGGGATGTTTGTCTGTGGGAGGGATCAACACTTCAAAACATTGCAACATGTGACCTCTACGCTCCATGTGCTCACCCTGACATTTCTAATTTGCTTAGGTGTGTTCAGTTATTAGATAACTGAATGTATTCTAGATCCATCAGATAATTATGTAAAGGGTAAAACATTGCATAAGCATATCCTGTCTATTAACACGTAAATGCTATTTGAACTATTAGCTGGACATTTGATCCATTATTTTTCAAAGTAGAATGATAATAAGATAAACAATGTTAGTTTTCTTGAAAGACAAGAATATGCTGCACAGCTTTAAATTAAACCTACTGTGGTTTTTATCTCAGCTTTACTTTATATCACTATGCCCTCATTAATGTTTAATAAAATTTTAGCCAGCTGTTCTTGCAGAAGTCATGAATTTCAAATCCTAGACGCAAAAACAAAACCTTACCAAGTATTTTTGGTCTAATTTCTCGTGTAAATATCTTAGTACACTTGAAATAAGACATAACTGACTTACAAACTTTTAGCAAGTTTAAGTCAATAACTGTTTAATATTGATAAAAAATACTAGTTCCACTGGCATATCATTTCACCTACAACATGGGAAAGATGTCTTGTTATAAGTGAAATGATTGTTACCTAGCAACCTCTGCAGAACAAAGCCTGGGACCTAGCAAACCCAGGGCAGCTCCAGCACATTTGGTTAGCTGGTTTTATGGCTGTATGCGCTGTACAATGGCTGCTGGAAAAGACAAGTGTTTAGTTGTTGACTTACTTTTCAGAAACCACTTGCTGCATTCTTGTTGGTTGTGTAGGAGGCTCCACTTTTTTTTTATAATTGCACATGTGCACGCAGCCATATTCACATGCTAGTATAAACATCGAGTTGGGGGGCGTGGGCTGCAGCAGCTTATTTGGATTTAAAGTGACAGAGGTCCTTTAAATCCAAATAAGTTTGTCCTTTCAGAATGAACTGAAATAGTTCATTCTGAAAGGAGCTCAAAATAGGCAGAACTGAGCAGAATAAAATCTCAGTATCTAATAATGATTTTGAGCAAAAAATGTAATGAGCATCTTTTGCATAACCCATACATCTATCTTAACCTGGTCAAGGAACTATAATAGGTTTATGAGAAAATTAAGTATAGGTTATATGCTTCATTTTCTCAATTTAAAGAGGATTGTGAACCTTGAGAGACAGTTGCTCTAATCAGGCTTAAAGCTGAGGTGATTCTTTGGATTTCTCTCAGAATAATCAGGACCTCGGTGAAGCCCTGCTGCCCTGGCCTCTGCTTACCTAATGAGACCCCATGCCCATGATTTCACAGCGTGCTGCGGCTCACCAGCCCACTTCGGCTCCACCCTGGGAAAAGAGGAAGAAGATGAAGAGGAAGAGCAGGAGGGGGCCAATGAATCCAAAACTAAACCCTCCTCCCTTCTATTTCATTTGCATGTACAGAATCAGGAATGATATCCACAGAGAGACAGTCAGGAGGGACTGTTCAAGAATAAAAAAAGAAAGAAAGTAAGAGAGAAATATGTGCGCTCTGACCACAGTAAGAAACAGATTTTCTTGCTTCATCTTCAGGAAATAAGGAAAAGGTGATGAGTGCAGCAAGCCACCAAAGAATTTCAACTTTACGAGCAGCACCATGGTTTAGGATGGTGAGTGACGCAATAAGAAAGACAAAAAAAGAAGACAAAGTCAGGCGCAGGGATGGAGGGAAATTAATTTTTTTATTTTTTACTTTTGTGAGATCCAATGGCAGGTCCTGATAGTGAAGAGAGGAAAACGTGAAGAGCCCTCGTGTCTGCAGCTCCAAAAGAGGATGTGATGAGACTGCATGGCTAATGAAGCAGCGCTCCACTCTGACTCCACAGAGATCCCAGCCTTTTCTTATTCCCATTCATCATTAATTCAACAACGTTGATAATTTCATTAGATTTTTTTAGTTTTTTTTTTTCCCTGTAAAGTTTCCAGGGTCTGTATCAATAAACAATGGACAGTGGACCAAGATTTACCCCGGCTTAGCTAAACACACTAAGTTTTATTTTAATCTTACTCTGTTTTCAGATAAACAAATGTGGGCAAATCCATGAAAAATAGCTGATTTCAAAAGAGAGAGGTTTCAAGTTAAAGCGGAACTACTTATGACTTGACCAGAAAAACAAGGAAGTCCCATTTTTATTTAGAATATTTAGATTATATTTATTCTCATATTCTATTTTATATTATTAATTGCAGTTTTGTGCACATTCTTCTTCACTTTGTAAATGTTTCATCATTCACATGTTTGTGAACTCCTTTTATCGAGGTTGAACAACTAAAAATGTGAGCAAGCAAAGTCTCAAAGCAATCATTTTATTTCTAATTGATTAAAGTAACTTTCCTAAATCAAATATAAGAAATAAATTTTTTTTTACCTATGATTATTTAACTCCTTAAACAGCGGAACGCCTGAGATCTGTTTTTACATTGGCATTATGGGGGGTCAGGGTTAAGGGGTTTTAAACAAAACCAACTATTTTTTAAATATTTTTATTTTTTAAAAAACTCCTGCAAATTTTTATTAACAATTGGAACCAGCTTAGCTCAGTCTTTGCCGGTAATAGCTCCGATGATTAATAAACCTTTAAGTAAATATTGGTTAATACATACATTGAAACTTTCACCACATATGTCCAATAAGCAAGTGGAGCAGTAGAGAAGAGCACACTGAGACCAGTCCGACTGGGAATACAACATATGGCACAAGCAGCGACTTATGGGACACGTCAGGTGAATAAACCAGGATCTGGCACACTGCAGTGGAGTCTGCCTTGGCACAGATTTAGTGACATAGGGAGCTTGGCTTGGGTATATGTGAATGCAGATACTTTTAAAACACACACACATGCACACACAGCTCCAGTGTGGGCTCTGAGGGGCTGGATCCTGGGATTACGCTAACCACATTTATTTTGAACTCTCAATTAAGTATGGGTGTCCCAGGGCTTAGAGTGGATTAATGAACAAGTGGGACCTCAAGCACGTTTTGATGACAGTCAAGGCCCCTGATCTCCGTTCTTCCCATTTTGCTGATTAAATATAAGCTTTTCATCTGTGGATACAATGCTATTAATTAAATTATTAGAGGAGTGATTCACTTATGAGAAATGGGAGCAGTGAAGAGAGAGACACCCGAGAAGCTTACCGCAATAACTACTGAAATATTCATTAATGATGAAGAAAGATTGCCTAAATTCATTGACAAGGATTACATGTGTAGGGACCCCTCTCTTCTTTCACTGGGCCAGCCCCCTTCAGCATGCATGGGCACATAGTCCCTTTTTGATCACCACATAACGGGATTCAACAACTGTGAAAATTTCATATGCTGGTAAATGGGCGGGCACTGACACACTGCAACACATACAAAAAAATCACAAAAAGCCTATCAGGAATGTTGTATTTTAAATTGTTGTTTAATGAAATATGACCAAGGGACTGTAATGACTTGCTTGAGGGATGTAAGCATCATTGTAACTGAGGAAATTTAAAACACAACTGAGTTTTCCGTTTTCCCTGCTGGAGAACAAACCAAACATGATCTAAAATGTTGGTACCGGTGGTTCCATCTTCAGCCGACTTCTTAAGAAAAATCTAAGACTGAGGGAGAGACGTGTTCAGGAAATGTTACAGTACCAGAATGTGACCCGAAGTAAGAGGTTTGATGTCTTCGAAATGAGAAAATACATTTTTAGACCAAAATCTTGGTTTTCTATTGTTTGTTTTGATATCAGACAAGATGAAAAAGCAGAGAAAAGAACCGTAAGGCCTAAAACCTTGATGAAACTCATGATGAATACAAGACAGTTGCTGTAGACATTTCTTGTACGTCGACTAACGAGGGTCACAAAATTCTTAATAATCTATTTTTACTTTTCAATTTTTAAAATAATGACATTTATTCAGTTTAATTGATATTAAAAAAGTGGAACAGGGAATCCACATTGTGCCATCACATATAAAGCTGATGAATATATGTAAATTTTTCTCTGAAGTGACCAAAACCACCGACTGTTGCCCCAGTAACTACACATAAACAATGAAATTAAAATATTGCACTTAAATAATGAATGTTTTGTCTGCTTCTGTCTGAACAAACAGTCTCACAACTTCCCCCTTCCTATATTTTTCCAAAAAAATTGTCAGATATTATTCATAAGCTTCTAAATATTTATTGGAATATTCTTTTTCCTGCCTTTTTTTTAGTCTTTTTTATTTTTGCTTTACTTTATTGGTAATTCAGCCGTTTAAAAAGTGTGAGGGGAGGAATAAGCTGCAAGACACCACCACAGTAGAATAATGACATACCAATTAGAATATTTTAATACATAAAGAACGTGATAAATAAATATAAACTACTTTTTTAAAGCTGCACATATGCTTTCTTGTTGACACAACACAAACCGAGTCAGTTAAAATTTTACAAGTTAATTGTAATTAAATATGAACAAACACTTTATTACAACTACATGAGCAGTCATTGCTTAAGTGAACAAAAGTACATTAAATCACAGTGAAGTGAAAGTAGAAGTTTAATCAGTTCAACAGAAAACAGTAACAAAACTACAAAATATTCAAAAGCCGGAGCATCAATCAGTTGAAAGTGATACTTATAGAGGCATCTGCTCTCTTCATTGTTGTTGGAGCTGAGCTTTGATGCCTTTCTACGATCAATACCACAACAATAATTCAGACAGAATGATGCAACTAGTGACTGCACATAGCTGGTCTTTTATCTGTGTTTGTATTTTAGATCTCTGCTTTTCGTTTTTAACAATGAGTTATACAGTATACTTTCATAATTTCTGTTATCTAATTTCTTATGCCTGAAATGATCAAACATGCAACAGTCGAAACCAGATGTTTACATACACTGCATAAAGAGACATAAAACACTTTCCTGGCTATCTGACTTGCAGTAAATTAGTGCGGTCAATCGATTAAATTTTTTTATCTGATTAATTAATGGTCAACTGTGTAAGCTTGAAATGTAAAAATGCACGTTTTAAAAAAAAAATGTCTGCGAAAATGTTTAATATTTCCAACCAAGCAGGTCAGTTTTCCAGGTTTTCATCGTCAGGAACGTTTAGAAGACATAATTTTGATTCAAACATTTATTTAGAAACATAAATTCTATTAAAAAAGGTGAAAGCAGATAATTCATTGTTGTTGTAAGTAGGATACATGCTACCGTGATTTTATTCAAAAGTCCACCTCAGTGTTTTTGTTGTGCTCAGAGGCGACATTTTCCTCTCAGCACACCGGTCTGACTCTCCTTGCTCATCGTTACACTCAAGTTTACAACTCTGCATTGTGCAACGCACTGCTTTGAGCTCAGTAACCCTTTGGAGTATTTAATATGAAACTTTATAAATTAATCTCACATGTTAATATGTTAACATTGACAGCCCTAATTTAAAGTTCTAGTAATTACATACTTTTCAATATCGCAGTTGTGTTGTCAAACCACTGAGAAGTTAAGTGTGCCAAAGAACAAAAGGTATTTGTGACGGGGAAGAGGTTTCCAGCTTGCTGCGGGAGAGGCTGATAGTCACAGACATCTACAGCGCACTGTGAGAGGTGATATGAAACACAGCTGCAGGTTCTTCTTTACAGAGAGACACCTCTTTCACCCCTTGCTGACAGGAAAGCATGGGAGCTGGCAACAGAGTTGGCTGTGATAGATGGACAGGCGGAATGAAAGCGATGCAAGGAGGAAACGGAAAAATTGGAAGAAAGGATGATATGAATTTAAAAAAACAATGGAAAGATGGAGGCTTGTTTTTCAGGAGCTGGAGAAAAAGTGTTGTCATGAGGCGGATGAGTGAGTATTAGGAGAACAGTGAGGCAGAACGGGTCAGAGCTTCACTGCTGCCACCCAGAACGGTAAAGGCCAAACAATCAGCATGGAAGGACCACAGCTGTGTGATACCGTAAAAGCTGCACCACTGAAAAGGTGCTGACACTCCACTGGTTTGTCTGGAGAAAAACAGTAATGCAGTTTATTGTCTTAACAAATAAACTGGGATTTGATGTGCACAGTGTATGAAATAGACATCATCATGTGCTGTGTGACCTAATGTTTGGTTCGTGGTGGAAAGTTAAACCAATGGCAAAGGTACAAACGCAGATGAGAAGGACGCTCCTCCCGCCTATACAGAGTTGCGAGGTTTGAGCATCTGCCAGTTCACCACCCATAGGGGAGTGTCTGTGGGCTCTTCAAACACCCTGCGTGGGTCCTCCACCTTTTGATGCTCCTGGAGAGGGAGAAGACGGGGGGAACAGGAGACACTCCTCCACACACGCTGCCGAGCTCAACAGGATCACATGGAGACAAAATGAAAGGAATAAAGAGCGAAACACACTAATGAAACATACAGCAGAAATGTAGAAGATGATAATGTAAAGCTGTGATATGAAACAAAGTGTAACAGATACCGATAAAGACATGTGGATATTTATTTACTGTGTTTTGAAATTTCCCACATTATTTTGTGTTTCTAAAGCAGGGGTGCCCACACTTTTTCAGCTTGCGAGCTACTTTTAAGATGACCAAGTCTAAAAGATCTACCTACAATAAAAATGCAGAACATATTTTTTTTTATTCTAAACTATCATTATTTAAGTTATTATTATTTAATTAATATTGTATGTCCTTTCTTTCTTTTTCCCCCTTTTAGGATAAGTAAAGTATTTTTAATTGAATTTGAATTTCATCTACAATACATGTTGGTGTGTCTTGCATAAATGCATGAACTACATTACTCAATACAACTCTGTACATTGTTGTTCTTACCTTACTCTGATGACCTGCACTGAACGGCATCAGCCAAGGCTGCATAGTCCGGACAGTAGCTGCTGATAGCCAGCTTCAAACACGCTTCCAGATGAGCATCAGTCATTGAAGAACGGTATTTGGACTTAATAATCTTCATGTGGGAAAAGGTTGATTCGGATAATTAGGTGGAACCGAATAATGCAGTCAGGAAGGTAGCACATTTCCTCATGTTGGGGTATTTTCCCTCTGTTAGCAAGTTCCAGAACTGTCCATGGGCCCTGGACTTCAGCTCAATGTCAGCTTGTAGAGTCAAAATTTAATTCTCCACACCAGATGAGTTCAGGTGTGGAATTTTTTTTTTTTGCAATTTTTGATGCAAGTGAATCCACCTCAGCATCTTCCCAAAAAGGGTAGCACATGAATGTAGCAACTGGCTCCAATAAAGCAAAGTCTTGAAAGTGTCTGTTAAACTCTGACAGACAGTTCTCAATCTGCTCTGTGTACCGTGCACTGTCAAGTTGCTCACTTGTCTTCCCCTGCATCTCCAGCTCCGATGCAACATTCTGGAAGTTTGTCTAATCAAATCAACTTTGAGGGCAGATGTTGCATCTTTCGTTTGAAAGCATTAACTAAGCTGATCATATTGATCACAGTTTTGTCTTTTCCCTGGAGCTCTATGTTAAGGTCATTCAACATGTTGGTCAGATCGGTTAAAAAAGCCAAGTCTAGCAGCCACTGGTCATCTTTTAATTGTCCATACTCTACATGTTTGGCTACAAGTAAAAACTTCTTAATCTCTGGACAGAGTTCTCTAAATCTTTCTAGGAATTTCCCTGGCCTGAGCCATCTCACGTCTGTGTAACAACAACTCAAAGTGGTCACAGTCACCCTTCTCCAGATGTGCACGGAACAGTCTGGCGCGAATAGAACAGGTGATCTTCGTTGCCACATCCATTATCTCTTTCATGTTGAGCATTTTAGCGCATAAGGCTTGTTGGTGTATTATGCAGTCTGGGAAAGCATCATCCTCCCTACACTTAGCAATGAATCCATTCAAGCAGCCAACCATCGCAGGTGCTCCGTCCGTGGTGATGGACACGAGTTTGAACACCGGGAGCTGGGTTTTCTCAATAAAGTTTTTGAAAGACTGGAAAATGTCCTCTCCCCGTGTATGTTCTTTAATGGGCAGTACGGTCAACAACTCCTCTCTTGCATTCATGTCAGTAAACACCAGCCGAATAAAAATGCACAACTGGGCTGTGTCACTCACATCTGTTGACTCGTCTAATTGCAGCAAGAAACACTCGCAGTCCGCAATATCCTTCCACAGTTTCTGAGTCAAATCATCGGCCATGACTTCACAGCGCCGTGTAACTGTATTCCTCGATAGCCGGAGAGCTTTGATTGCAGATCATATTTCCGATTTGTTTTTAAAGTCTCGGAACAACGGCTTCAACAAATGCCTCTTTTATCATTTCTCCGTCTTGGAAGGACTTCTTGTGCTTAACAATCAAGTGACTCACCTGAAATGATGCTTTGGTGGCTGCCTTCGCTTTTGTGGTCAGATGTGAGAAAAATGACTGCTGTCCGGACAACTGGGATTTAAGTTCTTTCACCTTTTTCCTTCTCAACTCGATTTTCAGAGGAAAGTCAATGTCGTAGTTTGTATGAAGAGTCCGAAAATGCCACTCCACATTTCCCTTCTTTGGAATAGCAATGGCACATCGACAAATGAGACAAACAGATTTAGAATATGACAGTGAAAAAGAAATCCTCCTCCCATTCAGCATGGAAGTGGTAGGTTTTAGCCTTCTTACTTGGAGCAGCTATGGCACTCATGTTTATACCCGTTCTTAAATGTAGTTTAAATAAATTATTAGTGGCTAGCTATGCAACACCGTAACGACTTCTTCTTCATCTAATTATTGGCGTGGTATTAAGCGCATGTGTAAGGTGGTGACAAAGGTTGACCAGAGGTCAGATTGGCCACGATCTACCCATTACGTCCCATTACGGTGCCCATTACGTCGATCGCGAGCTCCGTAATGGGCACTCCTGTTCTAAAGTGTCGAAACACTACCATTTCCAAAATCCTTTTCTTAGTTTTGTTTAATTGTTCTTTATGACATACCTCATGCAAATGAATGGATTTCAGTTTTAGTTTTAAAAAACCTTCATTGGTGATTTTACAGCATAATCTACTGATCTTCTGTTAGCTGTAATGTTGCCAGTTTTAGCAATAACATCAAGAGAAACAGAGAAACATTTCAGCCTGATGAGAAGGTAATCTTCACAGTGTCATGATGTGAGGTGAATACGGACCCAAATGCAGCAGGCGAGGAACCAGGAACTAAGATGAAGATGACTTTAATGGAGAATAGGCAGCTCATACAGTCCAAGGAACAAGCAGCGCGGCAGAGCGGAAGCTAGGCTCAGCACCGGTAGCAACAGTACAGGAAAAAACTGACGAAGGGAGTTGTAGGTAATCAGGTAACTAGACACACCTGGGAAACAATCAACAGGGAAGACAGGACAGGAACAGGACTAAACACAGAAAACCTCAAAAATAACTACACAGAAAACACAGAACATAACACACAGGAGGCAAGAAATGAGGCAGAAGAATGTTTTTTTTCATCTTCCACTACCTGCTGGTAACAAACCCATACTATACAATTTTTAATATTGGATGTGTCTGGTGGATAAGTTAAAGTCAAAGGCAACACTGCAGTTGTATTAATGTTTGTGATATTCAAAATAGAAACAGTTTAGAAATGTGACAACAAAAACCCTTGACTGTTCACCTGACCAAAGAAGTTTTTTTTTTACTATAAGACTGGGGCTTATAATAAAAAGCAAAATGTAATGACTTAATTTACAGCTTAAATATTGCAAAGGTTTCCACAAAAAAGGGAAAGTAAAATGAAAATTAGCCTTCTGTGTGGCATTTGACACGTGACTGGTATAAAAAGACACACACCAAGCACATAAAAGCCATGACAAGAAAAATTACAGCAACAATCAGTTCAGTCCTGTACCAGCACGAAAGGTTTATCTTACTGGTCTCAATTGGCCACAGATTGACTGACAGGTGAGGGTTGGAGGTAAACTATAGAGACCAGCAGTCAAATGGACACTGGAGGTGTTACTCACATTGATGTACAGAAAAAAATGTCTTTCATTGTCTGATGTTCAAAGGCTGATGTCTGAGGAACAGACATGTTGAAACGGTTGGAAAATGTCTATCAATTATTGAAGAACCGTGTATCTTTGGATGAAGCCATAACTAACCAGTCGGCTAAATAATTTGGTGATTTCTGAAAGTCCAGTAAAAAGACATTGTTTTTAATAGTTATCAAAAGATCTAATGACACGAAGAAGAATAAATATCCTAGAACATAAAAAAAATCATCAAAATGTAGTAAAACCTGGATCAACATGTAGGAGCAGTAATGACAAAGGACATCATTGCTACTATGCAGGTAAAGTAACATGATGTCACAGGTAAATTCAATGCTGAAAAAAAGTTTACAATGCTTTTTTAACAAAAAAGGTTTTGGTAACACTTTATTTGAAGGGGCGTGCATAAGACTGATATGACACTGTAATAAACATGACATAACACCTGTCATGAACATAAAGAAGTCTTTATGAATGTTTATGACAATTGTCATGAAGTGTCATTTGGTAAATAATGACACTTCATGACAACTGTCGTAAACATTCATAAAGACTTCTTTATGTTCATGACAGTGTTATGTCAGTCTTATGTGCACCCCTTCAAATAAAGTGTTACCAAAGTTTTTTATGATAATTAGCTAAAACAATTATCATAACACGTGTTATGATTGTCTTTTAATGGCATTCATTTTGATGTTAAAAGAAGAAATTTATAATAACCTAAGAATAATTTTTAACCTAAAAATCTCTAAATTCTTCACCGTCTCCTCCTGCGCTGGTACCTGTCTCTGATTCTTCAGAGACTTGATGATCATCGACAGTGCGTCGTTTTTGGCTTCATTCTTGTCCAGACTTAACTTGTCTCTGAGCTCAATAAATTATTTTTATAACAGTGGATGGAGTTGAGAAGATCAAGTGTCTCAACAGAATAAAAATTCAACAGTTTCAAGACTGTAGTGCAGTTAAGCTGCTAGGAGTACAACTATGGAAATGAATATAACTATCTTGAGCTACAAGCCTGTACACAATTTAAAAGGAAAAAATGGAAAATTGATTATATCTCCTTCAAAATAATCTAAAGGGTAAATAATTATGAATGGCGTGTTTAATCTTTAATCACATCTTTGCAGCCACGTTGACAATTAATAGGATTTTTTTGGGGGGAAAATATTATTATATGAGATATACCCAAAATGTAATATTAAGCCTGTAATCATAAAAGCTATCAGCACATCCACAAAGGAAGACATTTGTGATCATACTAAGATGATTGATGATTGACAGAAGCTGGAGCAACGGTCACCCACCCCAACTGATTGGAACCACGGCGCCCAATGAGCTGAAGGCATTGAGAGGGATAATGACTTGAGGGCAGACATGAATCATATCTCTGGGAATCATGTCCACAGCATTTAATATAGTGGGAGGGTATTTCTGCTCAGAGTCATGTAGTCCCACCAAGGCCTAGACGGGCAAAACAAATCTGTAATGGGTGCACAATTGAATCAGGTGTCTGGTCCTCTTAAGGAAATTAAGTTGTCGCCAGAGCGGGGCCACTTAATGAGAGGCAGGCTCGCAGACAGTGACGGATGGCGGGTGACACTGACAAGACTGCGAGGCCGGCCACAATATCTGCATCAGGACTGGTGATGATTTTTCACCCACCGAACCCCCCTAACCTTTCAGTTCTGCTTCTGTTTCTCTGAAGCAGAATGCATGTGTGTGTGTGTGTGTGTGTGTGTGTGTGTGTGTGTGTGTGTGTGTTTCTCAAACACACACACACATGCAGCCTCACCTCCATTCCATTTTCTACGGCCTCATCAGGGACACGTTTGCTCCCTGTGTGATAATAGCCATTTATTTGCACATTTATTCATGGGAACGGTGACAGCTAATAAAGTGGGAGATCTTCTTTCCATGTGTTTTTACTTCATGGTGCATCTTGATGGTGGCCATTATCTGATTTTAATAGATGTCTTTGCATAGTCACAGTAACTCTTAGAGAATACGCACAGCATAGCCTCTGGTATGAGCAGATAGATGAACAATACAATTTAGCTGCGAGGAAACCCCATTTTACAGGAGGAACTGTAAGGTTTATTATTATTACATGATTTGATTTGGTCCATTGTTATGCATTTGTACATGAATTCACCAAGGACTCCTTATCATCTCAACATTTATGCATAAAATATTCATGGACAGTTGCAAGTCCCTTACAGTATAATTTTAAAATTGGAAATCACAATGGTATCAGATACTATTCACTTTACTTTTGATGTTTTTTCAAGTTAAAAATATGTCTGGGGGAGGGGGAGAGGTTGTATTAAAACTTGATAAACATTTTTGTAAATCTCCAACTTTTGCAGGGTTTACTGAACAACAACAACACTGAGTCTAAGAATGCTGTGCTGCATTGTCAAATATATAAACCATGATTCCCTGCGCTGGTCCACCAGGGGAGCTTTTATTTCACTGCTTTCTGAACCATTTTAGACGTGTTAAGCTTTATAAAAGAAAATCAGAAACAATGTATGCAGCCTTTCTAAAATATGTAAATGAATAGTTTTGGTATCAGATGGATGGACGGACAGAAACTAAACCAGCTCAGCTGCTAAAATGATGTTACTTGAAAGTGAAACAAGTTGAAGAAAACAGAAAAATCCACCTCTCAAACTGTTTCTGTTTTTATTTTTATTTTTTACCACAACCATGTTTTTGAATAACTCTCTCACCCTCTCTCACCCTCTCTCACCCTCTCTCACCCTCCACTTGCCTTCCTTAAAGAACAATGGACCTTCCTTGTAGTGAGCCTTGCCTTCACTATAAACTCTAACTTTGTATTGATAAATAGAACTGTTATATCTCAGATTCACATTTCAGTTGTTTTAAAAAGCTGCATTAAACCCAGTCTGTCTTTCCGTATTATCAGTTTGCTATGTTTGATGTTTGCATATATCAACTATGTAGATAAATATTCTTTAGGTGTCAGTAAATAACTTTCAATTTGGAAATAGTGATTGGTGGATGTGTCAATGCGTGTCAAAAAAAAAAAAAAAAATATATATATATATATATATATATATATATATATATATATATGCATTTTATTAAATTTTAAACTGTAGATATTTATTTTCTTCTTATTGAAAATGAATGCTTTAGATGAACACTCTTCTAAAACAGGAAACAATAGCAGCTAGAGTTTTTTAGAAACAGGACAAAAATGAGATTTGTTCCTCTGCATGTGCTGGTATATCATCAAAATGCAAACTGATGCACAACTTGTGAGTGAAAAGCTCAGCAGTCTGTCACCTAAATGGATTAGCCTGACTTCAGAGACGGTGCTACTAAGCATGGAAACATGGTCATTTTTTCCAAGATTGACCATCATTTTCAGTCTTGAAAATGATGTAAAAACACATTTCCATGAGGCACTTCTCAGTTGTGTTTCATGTAAAGATGAACCACCTGCTATGCCACTTAACTTGTGCACTTGTGTCTTGCACAAGCACAGCTAGAGCAAACAAGTGGAAGAAGATGCTCTGGTCAGATGAGACCAATATTGAACTTTTGTCCTACATTCAAAAAGCATTATGTGACAGAAAACTGACACACAACCTCTAAAGTAGTGCAAAGCAGTGGCAGCGCTGTGTGTCGTTACTAAAATAGTTGTAGTGGTACTGAGAGAAAAGGTGAATTTACAAAGTATTGACCCTGGAAGCTAAACACAAGCCAGACTTTTTAGATTTAAATTTGTACAAATTTAAAAAAAAATGGGTATCTTTTTCCATAAATTTCTCAGTAATGTTCTACTTTGTCTTGGTCTATTTTTTAAAATACAATAAGAACCAAATGGAGTACATAACAAAGAACTGAACAGTGTTTTTAAGAAAATCAGAAAATATACTTGCAAAATTGAAAAAATTCTACATTTTTTGAAATGTTGAATATTGAAAGTCAGCATTTACCATAAGGAGTGGATGAGTATGGATTTTCATTTTTTAGCTTCAGAGAAACCAGTTGTCAGATTGGTATGCATAAGCTAAAATTACCATCTGAACAATGAGGAGCTTTTCTCAAGCATACATGTACATGCTGCTTACAAGAACAGGAATTCTTATTAATGCACTAAATCCACAAATTGCACTTTACAAATGGTAATCGGTTCTCACCATACTATGTTCCTAACTCAGTCGTAATGCACATTGTTGGTCATTACGGTCCAGATCATCAGAATCCAAATCTGAGGAGATTTCACTCGACTCGTACTAGTAAGATTGTACATCTGCTACTCCCACAAAGTCTTCCACCATTTTGTCATACACAAAAAAGTCATTTTAGTCACCAGCTGAGGCAGAATGCCTGTCATGAATTGAGGACGGTAGTGGATGGTAACTCTGCCCCCCCCTCCCGAAAAAAAAATCACCCCCACTTCTAATTTTATATGACAAAAACATTAAAAGAAAGTTATTTAAGTTTTAGGTCACAGAAAACATTGATACTTACACAAGGCAACATAGCGCCACGTTTCACATTTTAGAAAGAAATTGATACTGAGGCTATATGTGCTTTTGACAACTGACATGAGATGGTTTCTGTTCATATAACAGGAGAGCTTGGAGACAACAGGCATGATCTTTTGGTTTTAAATGTGTTTTCTCTACATTACCATTGTGAGGCCAGTCTGTGCCTGAGGACCCATCAGTTCTTGCTGCACGACGCCTACTAGAGTGAATGGCCACTCATGTATGCCTTTTAAAGCTACACACCATACATCCTCCCTGACAAGACTTTGTCTTAGATTTGTGGATGGAGGCAGCAGTGCAGCAGAAATCATTGAACACAGTAGACTCGTAGGATTTGATGGGGCTCCATCTTCATGGGCTGACTGGGTATGAATAATTGACCTCGTGGTCTGGGCTCCAGCTCATTACTGTGGGAAGTGTTGGCTTTGTTTGTGATGCTATGAGGGCAGGTGCGAGTGCCTACCGTCCAGCTTGGTTTTCTCCTCTCGCCCTGACCACACTGCCTTCCTTCATCTTTAATGGCCTGTGCCGGGATCGGACGTCCAACCCCTCAAACCTCCAAGCCTTGCCCACTTCATCAAGAAGGTGAATGGTTGGGCAGTAACAGCTACTGCCAGAGAGAAGTTTTTCAGAAATTCTGCAGAATTCTCCTGTGAGTTTAAGGAGTTATGGGCAACATTATCAAAGGGCGCACAGATAGATAGAGAGGGAACGCTGACATCTTGGAAAGTTCTGTGGGGAAAGTTTCCAGGTACACACTGAAACTACAATAAAACTATTCAATATACATGGGTTTAAGGTGAAAACTCTGCCAGCATGGAGTCATGCCATCTTGTTCTGGAAGTTTGGAAAGTTATCTTAGGGAGTTGTGTTGAGCAAAGTAGTACAATGGCTTACATCGTTGTACCATATCTGGATAAAATCTAACCCTGAAGAGTACTGAGACAATTAGTAGGCTACCATTTAACCGATTTCTGCTGAAACATGTGCATCTCTGCGGAAAGATACATTCTTGGATCATTAAACATTAAACAGCAATGATGAAGACAATAACTGACAAGATCCACTCCAGTACATTAATTAGTGAAGGGGTAAGCTCAGTTTAGGACAAAAACTTATCTGACCTCTGCACAACATTTATTCATAAGAACATGCAGATATGTCTTATGAATATGATATGGAATGCCCTCCCAGAGTCACTGAGAGCCCCACAAGGTGTGGAGGCCTTCAAAAAAGGTCTTAAGACTCATCTTTTTAAACAGGCCTTTTAGAAATGTAAGTTTTGTTTTAAATTGTTAGTTTTAATGTTTGTTTTGGTACCACTTGGTGCAAGATGTATTACTGTAAGCTCTACAATTTATTTTTTATTTAGTCTCTGTAGCACTTTGAGATTTCTTTGAAATATAAGGTGCGTTACAAATAAAATTTATTATTATTATTATTATTATTATTATTAATTCAAGTCTAGAAAAGAAGAAAACATTGACAAACAAATGCAACTATTTTAGGGATTAAAAATTAGGTTTAAAATGTTGCCATTTCAGTAAGCTCATTTTTAATTTCTTAAAGCTTAAGCTCATGTTTTACCTTTTTTATTTAGCTTTTAATTTGCTATTTTTAACATAATAAAAGGTAAAGATGTTTTAAAAGTCAAAGATTGTTGGTACCAATGTTAAATCATTTCACAAATTGCATAATTTTAAGAAAGAGTCCTTTATGTTAACATAATGAGCATCATCCCTAAGATTTCAGGTGCCTTTACAGGTGGCTACTACATACCACCATTTTATATTTTTAAAACTGCTAAAAAGCTGTTAGATAAAAATGGATACAATCTCTCAATTTATTTCATTTCCCAGCAATACATCCAAATTTGGAAACACATTCACTATGAATATGTGTGAGTGGCAGAAGTTTCAAGCCAGAGAAACAAAGAGGAGGTGAAAGAAAGAGAGGTGTCTTACCCACAATGTGGATGAAAGAGATTATCAGAGCGATTCCTCGTTGTTTCATTGGTCGCAGGCAGCCGAGGATTTTGGAGAAATTCGCAGAGCTGTCATTGTGTTTTCAGGGAGGCAGAAGAG